CCCCAAAACCCCAAAACCCCAAAACCCCGTTAATCTCAGTTGTGGTTGAGAAGGATAAATAAATTTTATAAAACTTCATCAAAATTAATTTATCCAATCAACTTTTATCCCAAAATAAATGAGCTAAGGCGCTAGTTGGCAATGGTAGAGGTAATTTAGACAAGTGTACAAAAGAGTGTCAAAATGTCATATAAAGGTTAATAATGAAGAGTTTTGGCGTAATTCTTGAGGAAAATTATAAATTACTTTGCATCTTTCTTGGACAATAACGCTTGCATGGTCGTGATCGTCTGAGGTTGTAATAATCTGGTCTATAGTGAGATTAACATGAGAATCTTTGGAGACAAATTTGTTTCAGGAAAAGCAAAAACTGCATAAAAATGTCAGTTTTAAGGACAAATTTTGAACTTGTCTTGATTTCAAATCAACATAACATTTTCAAAATTTGAGGAAGAAGGTAAATTGCAAGGTCTTACCAACAAATCTGCATTCTGAGTCATTTGTAACATAGAGCTTAGACCTAGCGTCTGAGCAGTTAGGTTATTGAGGGGAGGAACCATAAATAAGTCATTTTGAGGTCTAGACATCTGAAGTAATGCAGCATTTTGCAGCTCACTCATACTTCCTTTACCAAAGTGAAGAGTCTTAACTTTCTTTGGCTTTACAATAGAAGTCTTCTGAACTTTTTGTATTTTTGGAGGTATGCAAGGTTTGGAGGTAACTTTACCTAGCACAGGAGGAATTCCTTCTGTTTTTAAGACAGATTTAAAAGCAGTTGGAGGCTTCAAGCTCTCTTCATTTGGCCTAAAGAGTGATGGTATTTTGAATTACCTTTTTCTCTTCTTGTCAACTAAGCAATTCTTATAAGCTAAGTAAGATACCTTACATCAAACTTCAGATTTTCTGACAGAGGGATCAAAATATGGAGATGCCTTACTAGGTTTACAAAGCTCTCATTGATCACATTTCTGTTTAGTAACGTTAAAAACTTTCTGGTATTCGTAAGCAGAATCTTGCACCTTTGTTTCGCAGAAATTGTTAACTACAAATGCAGTTGGATTTTCGGTTCCATGTTCATTCTTCACCTTGTGAAAGAATTTCTGAGCATGACTAAATCATAAGGTTAACTCATGAATTCACATCAAATCTTACCTTCTGATTTGAGTGCCTGTCCTTGTACCAATATGTTTCTACAGATAATGGATTATTTCTTACCTCAACTTTATTTCCAATTCCTGCCATATAATTTCAGACCTATTTGGCTAAGACTAAACCTCTTACCTTCAATGAACATATCGTGCTCTTTATCTGTCCATCTGCCTGCAGATTTTCCTAGCTTGGACGCTTTCGTTGCTCTTTTATATGTTGATCTACAGAAAGAGTGAGCCACATGAATCAGGAGGTAAGGCCAGGAAAAATAGTTCTAAAGACTTAATAATACTAAAATTGATATATATTAAAAAGGAGTTTTAATCTAGCCTCTCTTTTATAGTCAAGTCTTACTTTTGAGGAAGCCTATCTTTTGAACTTTCGCTGTCCCCTTGTGCCTTCTCATCCTCTAGCTCTGAAGAGACTTCTTTTAGGCCCCAATGTTTTTTGTGCTGGTTTACTTCAAGAGTAGAGGTGTCAGGGTCGAAAGAATCCCTGGAAGAATCTTTTATATTAGCTTTCATCTTTTATTGAGTAAATTTAATAGTATCTTAAAATTATTATAACCAAGATATTTATTTAAAATTCTTCAGCAAACATTCCAAAAGGAGGGGTTTTGGGGTTTTGGGGTTTTGGGGTTTTGGGG